TCTCAGTAACAGGCAAAGTCCACTCTGCCCAGAACCCCGACACCCACAGCTCCTACTGCCCTGCTGCCTCCAGCACCACCCTTTCCTGAGGCCCTGTTGTGTGACTGTGCTGGACTGCAGGGATCCAGCGTCCAGATGGCCATAACCCTGCGCCTTGGTTTCTTTATCTGTACAATGCAGATAATCCCTGCGCCTGCTTCCCTGGGCTGTAGGGCACCTTCCCTGAAGAGACACGTGCAATTAGACTTGTGGATAGCAAAGCACTCCCCACGTTTCAGGTAGGTGTGATTCGTATAGAAAAAGCTGATGTGGCAGACTGTGGATTGACCTGGGCCCTCTCAACGAGCTGGCCTGGCCCCTGTTCCATGAGCTCAAGGCCCTGCGCTGACCTGGGAACAGCTCCTACAGGGCCATCCCCACCTCTTTAGGCAGGGCCCTTAACAAGGTAAGGCAGCCTCCCAAGCAGAAACTGCAACTCACACAAGAGAAGAAGCCCCTCACACAGATGGCAGGGTGCAGTGTCACCTGGGAGGGAGCAGCTGCTTTCTGAACCCGCCAGGGAACACTGGAGAATGGGAGATGGCACCCCATACAGTCCTGCTTCCCTGAACCCACCGAGGCAGTCTAGGATGGGGTGAGGCAGGAGGGCTTGCTGTGGTGGCCTGGGCCAGCCCCTTCTGTCTAGAGCCTCAGTTTTCCAGCTATTAATGGGCTCTATAATCTTGTCTCTTCTCACTGGTGCCCATGACGGCGATACAGTCCTACTCAGGGGATGCAACTTTCCAGGGAAGGTTTTATGGGGTCAGCTGGTGTGTCTGTGGTCCACAGTGCCACTGACTTCAGGGTCGCAGGAGGATGCTTGACAGGAAGGAGCACTCCGGACAGAGTAGCTGATGCTTATGACAAGAATTCCAGTTCCCACTGTCCTCTCCTGTCCAGGGAGACAGGAAGAGTAGAGAATGACACCCTTCCACAGCTGGAAAGCCAGAGGCTCAAGGCCCAAAACCAGAGGCCCAATGGTCCAGCTGAGCACTGACAGGCCAACAGGGACTCCCAGGCATCTGATGCAGTTGCCAGGCTGATGGTGGAGACATGGGTGAGGGTGCAGGTGAGGTCTGGGGTGGGGAGAGGAAGAAAGCTTCCTGGAGTGCCCTCCTTGGGAAGGGCCAGGGGAGGCAGGCTCGGGGGCAGAGGAGGGATGGGAAAGCATAGGTCAGCAGCAGGCCTCAGGCAGCCCCTCTGCCCACTGCAGGGCCAAGGCCCTGGAATCTGGCCTGGGTGGAGTCATGCTGTATCTTCTCCATTCCCTCGTTATAAGCTATGGTCCAGGATCAACCAGAGATAGCAAAAGATGATCAGTCCATTCTTCACAGTTCTGGGGGACATGGAGGGGCAGGTGCTGCCCAGAGACATCCAGCTAGCATCTGACGAGAGGCAGGGCCAAGGCCTCCTGCTCCCTCACGAGGCTGCCCACTCAGCTGCCCAGTCTGAGTCCCCAGGATGTCCTGCCTTGTACCAGGGCCTGGGCATCAGAGAAGAGGGTGGAAGTGGTCCCTGGGTGCAGAGTGGTGGGCTGGAAAGTGACAGCTGGAGGAACAGTGGCAGCACTGTCCTCTGCTTTGAACCTCCAGGGCCAGCCCAGAACCTCCAGGCTAAAACCCCAACTCCTTGCTGGTTCCACTAGAACCTATTGTCCTGACTCATGCCACCTGCACCCTCATCTCTAATCCTCTCTCCTCATGCTCTGGCCACATGGACTTCTCTCTTTCCTCTCACCATGGGGACTTTGCACATGCTATTCCCTCTCTCTGGAGTCCCCACTTTTCTGGGTCATTGTCTACTCCACCTTCTGGTGCTATGTTGAATGTCGCATCCTGCAAGAAGCCTCTCCTGACTCCCTAGTCCAGACCAGACCAGGTCCCCACAGACCTTGTCACAGCACTTGTCCCAGTTGTCATTTTACATTTGTTTGCATGGTGGTTTGGTTTCTTCCTGTCTCCTCTGGACTCTGAGGTCTCCACCATGTATTTCCCATGTCTGGCACATTGTGTGGCATGAAGTAGGCCAACAATGCATGTCCATGGAAAGAATAAAGAATGTTGGCTCTCAGTTCAAATCCTGGAACCTCTCCCTGAGCCTTGATTTCTTCTTCTCGGAAATGGGAATGATAACATCAAGATTAGCGTGAGGGTGAGCCAATGAACAAAAATCTCCCAGCCACACTCTGCCAAGAGTAAAGAGAAGGAGGGAGGAGGAGGGAGATTGGGGTGGGGAGGGGGTGGTTGATGCTGGCTGCTTAGGGATGGAAGGACTTGAGACGTGTGGGAACCAAAAGGTGGTGGGGACAGGTGGGGAAAGACGTGGAGGTGGGGAGATTGGATATGTTTAGAGACAGCAAGGAAGACAGCCCAGCTGGGTGGGGCATTTCTCTGAACCCTTGGTGACCCACTTTTCAGCCTGGCTTAGGAAACCAGGAGTTTCAGAGGAAGTGGGTGGGAAATGCCCACTGCCGCCTCGAATTCCATGTGGGCCACTCTCAGTCTCGGCTGGACCTGGTGTGATCATTAGATCTGGGACACTGCCAAAGTTCTCCATGACTGGCCCGTGGAGATGGCTGGAAACAGCAGAGCAGCCCTGGGCAGGCATTTGTGGGGGCACTGACCCAGACTCTGTGGTGGGAAGCAGCTGCCAGCTCCTAGTAGAGGAGCTCCCTCCTGGAGTTGCCCAACTGGTCTGGTTCCCGGTCCCTGCCCCAGGCCCCCAGCTACTACTGCTCTGGCCATGGAGTGGGCCCGGTCATTATTCATGCCATGCCTCTCTGTAAAGCCTACTGAAAGGAAGAGGTGGCAACAGCCTCTGGCTACCAGCACAAGGGCAGGACACAAGGGGATCCCAGAGAGGCCTCTGCACATGACTGCCTTTGTGCAGAACTCCTGGGTAGAGGGCCTAGGCTTGGACTTGCTGGGGACAATAAATGACATAGACTTAGGCTCATCATCCCTGTGGTGCCTACCAGCTTGCTCCCATACTTCGGGAGGGAGCTAAGGCTCAGAGAAAGTATGCCACCTATTTGAGTTTGCATAGCTGGGCATAAACTCCCAAGCACGGACACAAAGGCTGTGTGGCTCCCAAGACAGCAGAAGTAAGCGGGAGAACTGGATGGTGGGGAATGGATGGGGATGCAGGCTGAAATCGCTGCTCTGCATGGATGTCAGAGACTCTGGGGAAAGGCTGTTTGTCTGTGTATGGCTTCCCTAGGGCTCACCTGGAAGCCCTGGGAAGACTCCTCAGGAGGCGTGCTGAGCCAGAGCAGGCAACAGCCATGAGCTCATCTCCCTTGAGACCCCCAGGAAGTCTGGTAGGGAGGCAAAAGGAAAATGGCCAGGGAAGGAGGGAGAGGGGAGACAATTGGGACTTTGGGATGGGCCACAAAGCCAAGCTCAGGCACAGGGAAGAAAAGGCCATTTGCCACATGCCCGCTGTGTGCTGAGCCATTTCTGAGCATCGTCCCTCGTGGATTCTTTGCCAGTCACGTTACTGGCAACATATTTTTTCCCCATTGTACCGAGGAGGACACTGGGGCTGGAACTGACACTGGATCTGCCTGATACCAAAGTCTGGGGTCTTCACAGGGCACCTTCTTGATGGGTGGGTACAGGAGCCTGGCCCCTCCTGGACTCACATCACAGCCACAGTGCAGCCTGGGCTTCTCCTACTTCCAGCTCCGGTCAGCAGGGGGAGGCTGTGCTGCATCTGGCTGTGGATAAGGGTGCAGAGGTTGGGTCTGGGCTTAGAGGGGATAAACAGAAGAGGAGGTGGCCCTCTGGCAAAAGCTGCTGAGTTTGGGAAGCCCTTAGCCACACCTCTGTGATGGCTGAAAGGTGGGGGTGGGGGCTGCTGCCTAGATTTGCCAAGCGGCCGCTCTGCTGCTGCCCCAGAACAAAGTCGAAACTCCTCAAATCAAGGATTTATAGCTTCTCTTCCCTCCGAAACACCCATCACTCCTTTTCCCACTTCCAGGTCTTTGCACGTGCTCTTCTCTTGGCATGGGATCCCCTTTCTGTTCCTTTCTGCCTGGCCAATTCTTACTCATCCTTCACTACCTGGCTTCAATGTCACCTCCTCCAGGACCTCCTCCACCCCCCACGGCTCTATCACACTTTCCTTATTCTTGTTTTCTGAAGGTAGGAATGTGTCTAAATCATCTGTGTGTCTCCAGGACCTAGCACAGGATGGGACACACGGAACTTCCTGAACAATGGGCAAAATGCATCCCTCTGCAGGGTTGGGGAGCAAGGGACAGTCTGGGGTAGGAGTAAGGGTGGGGAGGGGGCCCTGAAGACGAAATGCTCATGTGCCAGACTTGTCCAGGATCAGGCTGACCAGCAGCCTAGGGGTGCACTTTACTTCCCAGGGGTGTCATGAGGGTCCAAGGAGATCTTGGATGTGAGAGAGCTCTACAAACGGTAGGTCCCAGTACCAATTCAACTTTGCCTCGTTCCCTGGTTCCTCTGATGAGGCAGATCGAAGGAGGAGGCCGACCCGGCCTGGTGAGTGTCGGGGGAGGCAAGGATTGCAGTCTCAGCGGTGGCCTTAGCTCTCACGGGCAAGAAGGCGGTGGGACTCTGGGGGCTGGGGGCCTACCTTGGGACTCCCGATCTAATACCATATCAGAGATGGGCATGGGCTCAGAGATGATGGAAGTCATGCCCTTCCAAAGGGGGTAAATTGAGGTGCAAAGAGGGGTCGGCATTTGCCCAAGGTGACACAGCAGGAGCAGGACGCCAACCCTTGAGCCCTGTCCTCCCAGTATGACAGGTGCCTTCCCCTGGAGTTCAGACTAGGACGGCAGCTTCCCTGATCCCCCTCCCCAGCCCCGCAGTCCAGGGCGCTCAGCCTAAACCGCCGCACACCCACTGTCGGCCCAGAGGCTTGGCCGCTGAGCGCCCCCTGGATAGCGTGGTCCCGGCAGCTCCCGACCGTCCTTCTCCTTGACTCACCTCCAGCCCCGAGGGCCGGGCTCCACGGCGGCGGACAGGGCGTCGCCCGCACGGCCCCTGCTGCGCCACCGCCCCGGACTGTTCCCGCGCGGCGATGCCCCCTCCCCGGCGCCCCCGGGTGGGGCCGGTCGAGCCGAGTGCGCTATCCCTTTAAGTCCGGGTGAGATGAGAGCTGTCAGCGGCAGCCGAGGCTAGCGCGGGACGTCGCCACCCTAGCGCCAGGCCAGAGCTAGCAGCCGCGGAGCCGCAGAGAGCGGAGGGGGCGGCGGGGCCGGGCGCGGCGGGTCCCCTCGCCACCCACTGCGCGCTCGAACCCTGGGCCCCACGAGCGGCGGGCGGCACCCGCTGTAATGCGGAGAATGTGAGAGGCAGCACAGGGCGGTGGGGAGGAGGGGGTGCGGGAGAGGGCGGCGGCGAGACAGACGGAGAGCAGCGGGGAGAACGAGGACCGGGCTGGGCCGGTGGGAGAAGGCAGGGAGGCGCCGGAGAGGCCGGGCTGGAAGAGGGGGAGAGAAGGACGGCGGCGCAGTGGAGGGGGCCGGCGCTTAGTGCGGGGAGCCCGAGTCGGCACCTGGGCCCGGGTTCGGGCTGGGAGCGCGGCCGCGGCCCGGCTAGGCAGGGTGCGGGAGCCGGGCCGCCCGCCGGGTCCCCACGGGGAGCAGCGGGGCACCTGAGGCCGGCGGGTCCAGGAGGGGCCCAGGGTGGCGCTCCGAAAGCTCCGGCCGGCGTGGCAGGGGATCTTTGTGAGCGCCCCAGGAGGGCGAGTCGGGAGTGCGGAGCCGGGTGTGTGCGCCCGGGTGTGGGCGTGTGTGAGCGCTGGGCAGTGGGGGCGCGCGGTAGGGATTCTGCGGGCATCGCGGCGTGGCGAGGAGGCAGGAGCGGGGCGCGCAGGGGAGCCGGGACCCTCCCGTGCACACGCACAAGCACACGCTGCGCGTTCTCACGCGCACATACACGCCCTCCCTGCCGCGCTCGCCGCCGCGGCCACCATCTCGGAGCCGAGCCCTGCGGAGCGGGAACCGAAGCCGGAGCGGGGACCGGAGGCAGCCGAGCAGGGGGATGCCGACCCGGAGCGGAGCCACGCGCGGACTGCGCGCCCAAGACGGTGAGTGTGGCCGGGCCGGGACGCTGCGGCGGGGCCAGGACCGCAGGGGCGCAGGCGAGGGAACCGGTGTGTCTGCCCGCAGGCGGCGCGGTGTGCGCGGCCTCTGATTGGGCGGGAGCCTCGGGGGCAGCGGCGGGGGTGGGGTGCTGGGTGCGCGTCCGTGGGGGGCGTGCACGCTCGGGGCTGGGAAGGGGCGCGCTCGGCACCCCAGGCCGTGACCGCGCTCCCACCCGCCGCGCGGCCTCTTCTCACCCTCACCTGCAGCTGCAGCCTCGGCGACTTGCAGCAACTTTGTGGAGCCCCTGGGGCGCGGCGGGCCGGGAGGGGTGGGGACGGAGGCGCTTTCAGGGTGCAACTCCGGCCTTTCTTTCCAGAGAAGAGAACGCTAGGGGAGCAGGGCGGGGGCGCGGGCCGGGCCGCCTGGCGGGCGGAGGGGTGCGTCTCTACCTCCCCAGTCGCGCAGCCGCCTGCTCTCTGGGGCACCCACCCAGCCCGGCGGCGCCGTGCTGGAGCCGCTCGGGGCGCCGGACTCAGATGACCCCACCAGGGTCAGGCGGGACCGCTCGGCTACAGCTCCCAGGCCCGGGGCCCCGGAGGTTGTCTTTGCAGGCAGGCGGAAGACACCGAGGTTGAGTTGGGGGAATGTGGAGACGTGCCCGGGCGTGTATGTGTGTGTCCCCGCGCCTTCTGCTCCTCAGGACCAAGGCTGGAAGAAGGGAACTCGCTGCAAGGCGCGCCCCACCAGACCTGGACCCTTAGGAGCTCCCAAAAGGCTAGGGATGGGAGGGGGCATCTCCAGGTCTGCCGGCCTGGTGTCCCATCCCTGCTTGGAGCCATGCCCCCGCGTGCCTCACTCTACATTGAGGTTGTGGCTGTGCTTTGTACCCTCTCCCCTTGTGAGTCTCCTCCCACACTCTGGACCTGTGCTGGCTGCCTGAGGGAACCTTCCCACACCCCTAACTGCCAACCCAGTCGGTCCCTGGAAGATGGGATGGAAAGCTGTGGTCCAAGATGGTGCCCCTCTGGAGTGAGAGGCCCAAGGAAGGGTCTGGGGTCAGGACTCCTATAGGCTCCTCATCCTCCTTGTTTCCAGGGCACGTTTTTCCTCCTCCAGGAAGCCTTCTCTGGTTGCTCCTGAGTCCTTCCATCTTGGACTTCCCTGGGGTTGTAACTGCCGGGATCCCAAGCAGCCCCCATCCATATGCCTTATTTCCTGCCACTCACCGTGTGAACCTGTGTGGTTAGAAGTCTTGATCTCAGCCAGGATGCTGCGTGGAGGGGTGTGGTGACGGGACCAGTCAGTATCTACCTGGGTCTCTGGAGTATGGTAATGTCTATGGTAATATCAGCTTTCAGGCTTAAACCTTCCTTCCGCCTCCATTATCCTTCTGGAATCTCTCAGCTACTTTGTGGAATGCAGGACTGCTGGGCAAGGTTCTTATCCATTTCACAGAGGAGGATTTTGTGGCAGAGATAGAGGTAGTCTTCTAAGTCTCAGGACAGCCCTTTTCCACTGCAAGGGTATCCACTGACCATGGTCTTTGGTGAGGCATGGAGGGCACCCAGGCCTTCTTTATTGACCTGGCAGCCAGGCTCCTGCTGCGTGTGACATGTTTACCTGGCCAGTGGCTGTTCTCAGCCGGAGGCAGTTGAGCAAAAGCTCCTGACCTGTGGGAGCTTTTGACCCTAGCCTGGTTAAATATGTGCTTCCTGGATTTGGGGCCAGATGCTGTCTGAGCTTCAGCTCCTGTCATCCTCTGCACAGCTCTGGGAGTTCACTGCCATCCTGGGGATCCGAATCACTCCCCACCCAGCCTGGCACTCTATGCTGGGTCCTGGCATTGTCCTTCTGTTTCGGCCCCAGAAGCCTTCCTACCCTCTCCATCCTAGAGCCCCTTTGTGGGCCAAAGATGCCCCGTGGAGATCTAAATGTGCACTGGGGGAATTGGAGGGGATTCTGGTGGCTATTGTGGCCACTTCCTCCCCAGGTGGCCCACCTGAAGAACAGGAAGTCAGAGCTGTCAGCCCCGGACAGGCTTCTGTGACTTGCCTCAGTCCTGCTGGCAGCCTGGAGTCATCCCCAGGGCCTTCAGGGTAAGAGCTGTTGCCTGGGAGTTACCACTGGGGGTGGGGCTCAGCCTGCTGGATCCTGGCGGTGACCTCCTCAGCCCCTGCTGGCTTCTCCCTGCCGGGAAGACTCTCTGCCTCTCCCCACTCCTCCCTTGCTGGGTCTGGCTGATAATGGCCTTTTTTGCCATTGTTTTTTTCTTCTCTCTTTCTCTGTCAGCTCCTCTTCTTCTTCCCCTGTGGCTCCCTAAGCGCCAGACTTTTGCCTCCCGAGTGTTGACCAAAGCTCTGGTTGACATCCAGATGGCTGGAGCATGGCAAGACGCCTAGCTTTGTTCCACCCCTATCATCCGTGCCTGCTTGAACCCCTTCCCCGATTCTTCTGGTATCTCCACCCCAACCCCAACCAACTCCAGCTAAATGAACCCTTCATTTGGGGTCCCACGCCATGGTGAGGGGGAGACCAGGGGCAGTTCTTTGGTCCCTGGTCTGTTCTACCAGGGGTGAAAATTCCAGCCAGGGGCTCCCAGCCCCTACTGGCTGCCCCCTTTAGGAAAACAGCCACTTCCCCACCCCAACCTCCTGACTGGAGGGAGCAGTGCCCAGTGTGACCCCCTTAATTTCCCTCCCTAGGCAAGACCTGACCCTGCCATATTTGGGTTTTAAATTGTAAAAGTATTCTAACAATTCCAGTGATAAGAATGTATTGAGTGGGCTGGGCCGTGGGGTGACTCAAGGGGGGAAGACTGCCCCTGACCTCTCAGGCATACCTTTGTGGTCCTGAGAGCCACCCTGACCAGTCTCAGAGTTTTCTCCGTGGGCTTCTGGGGCCCACATCCCTGTTGCCAAGAACCACACCTTGGCTCTTACTCTCCATGGCCTGGAATCCTACCCTTGAGCCTCACTTCACCTTTGGAGGCATCTTCTGGCTTGAGACCTGGACTGAGTGCTGGGGAAACCAGTGAGGAGCCTAGGCCCCTCCCCGGATGGGCTCAAAGGGGAAACCGATTTGAACCCATACCTCTGAGTATGAGTGAAGCCAGCTGGGTGACCGAGAGGCTCAGTGGGGGAGTGGCAAGGGGCTGTTTCAGAAGGAGGGGACTGGCGGGGCCTTGACCTGCTGAGATTTTCCAGCACTTTGTTGATGCTTAGTAAATATTTGTTGACTAAATGAGTGAATGGCTAATGTGAACGTGAGTGGGGGCTTGCTAGGAAGATGGCACAGCACTGGCAAAGGCATGGAGGTAGGAAGCGCTGGGCAAGGGTAGAACGTGTTTGCAGTGGAGTACTCATGGGAACATGGAGAAAGTTGGCACCTGACAGAAGAGGATCCTCAGTGCCCATCTGAGGAGTGTGGGCTGATTCTGAATTCAGGGCTTGCAGGGTTGAAGTTCTGGAGGGACACAATTAGATTTGCAATATAAACCACTTCTCTGGTGGTCGTGGGAGGGGTTGTCCGGGAGCTAGGAAGACCTGGGTGGGGTGATCTAGGTTGTCAGAGTTGGGCGAGGGCTCAGGATTCACCAGTCCCACCACCTGGGCATACAGAGGTGGCAAGTGTCTTGAAGTCATAGATGCAGCCTCCAGTACTGGCCCTGCCACTGTGTGCACTTCAGTAAGCCCCTGAGGCCCATGGGTCTGCCTCAGTTTCTGCGTCTGTAAAGTGGACATGTTTGTTTGTCTCCATGGATAACTGGTGTGAGTTTGAGTGGGAGTTTGTAACCTCGGAGGAGGGCTACAAAGGAAAAGGGGTGGAGGGCTGTTCGGCATTGCTATTTGATAGAGGAAGAGCTTGAGACCTAGAGCGGGGCAGTGACCAGCACAAGGTCACTAAGCAAGTTGGGAGCGGGCACTGCAGTCTCGGGTTTTTCTGGCTGTGCCTGTGCTTGCTGGGCAGGGGTGGGTGGGGTGGCCGGGGCCTCGGGGCCTCTGCAGAGGACGTCCTTAGGCAGTTGTTTCAGCACTCCAGCTGTCAGAGAGCATATGGGGCCATATGGCCACATCAGGGGAGGTGCCAGCCGCTGGAGGAGGGATAGCAGCTGCCACCATGGCCGTCTGGATCTATGTGGGCACTGCCAGCCACCAGGGTCAGGGCAAGAGGGGCCAAAATGGAACTTCGGTGTCCAGGATGGTTTGGACATGGAGGCTGGGCCTTGGCAGGTGGCCCAGTTCCAGCACCCGTCCGCCAGGGCAGCCAGATAGGCAGCTCCATGCCCAGGACTGATCCAGTTAGCTCAAGGCCAGCTGTGCCAGCCACCCTCCTCATGTGCCCCTCCCAGCTCTCATGGCCTTACCATGGGGTGGCACCGTGCCTCTGGTGTTAGTGTCACTAGCCTCAGTGGAGTGTGTGTGTATGTGACATGTCCCCACATCCTGAGCTCTGATTCTGAAGCTCTGAGACTTTGGGGTGTGGAGTGGCTCCTCAAATCAGCCTGGTGGATCCAGAGGGCCTGGGCTTGGATGCCAGATGAAAGTGGGTTGGAATCTTGGCTCAGCTGCTTCAGGCTGGGTGAGCTTGGACAAGTCACTTGACTTTACTGAGCCTCACTTTCCTCATGGGTGTCATGTGGGGATGATGTCTACCATAGCCCACTTGGAAGTGACGCATGTAAAGCAGCCCCTGCCAACGGCATTGTAGGATCTCAGTAAATATTGGCTGATGTTTTGCCTTCTGCAGGAAAGGGAAGTGAGTCAGGTTGGAGTTTCAATGTTCAGGTAGAAGTAAAGAGGAGCCCTATTATTATTATTTTCCAAGGTAAAATCTGCCTTGTAGTTTTGTGTTTTTATACTCCTTCTTTTGTTTAGTCCTCATGGTAGTTCTAATAAAGTAGGCGGACAGCATTGTTCCATTTCACAGATGAGAAAACTGAGGCCATGGTGGGAAGTGAGTCTCCAGAAGCCACATAGTGAGTGAGGCTTGACCCAGTCTCTAGACTCCTGGTCCAGTGTTCTTGCTCCACAGTGAGGCTTCCCAAACTTCTGGGGTGGAGGCTGGGGGAGGAGTGGCTTTGTCTTCTGTCTAGACCAGCTTGAGGGTTCTAGAGACTCCCTTCTTGGCTCTGTTTCCATTATAGGTGCAAGGACAGGCTGTCATGATGACTGTTAGCCAGTCTCAGCTGGGGCTGGAATGAGGGATGCTCAATGAGGCAGCATCTGCTGTATTTCTCCTTCTGCCCCAGCACAGGGAGGGGCTGAGATTAGGGGGCTTCCTAGGGGGAGGCAGGAGAGCCCAGGGACGAGTGAGGGGTAGCCCTTCACCTCCCAGGCAACCCTGGCCATGCCAAGGCCTGAGCCTTATGGGGCAGGGTGGGGAGGGCACTGGGCCTTGGTCCTTTCTGGTGTATCACCTTGGACAGATCACTGTCCCTCTTTGAGCTTCGGCTTTCCCCTTTGGACACTGGACAGAATGATCTCCCTGCCTGCCTTACAAGGCTATTTTTGAGGCTCTAATATGTATTTTTCTACATGGCAGGGCATTATAAAAACATGCTATTTCACGGCTGTAATTCCAGGACTCACCTGTCCTACAATTTGATGATCTATGATCATTCAATGAATCACTATTTGGGCACCTCCTCTGGGCCTGGCTGTGCTGGGTACTATGGGGACAGAGATGAGTAAGACCAGCTTCTGCCCTCTTGGGGCATGTAACCTGGTGGAAACCATAGACAGACCTTCCCAAGCCCAGGCTGGCTGTCACACTCTTACCCAACACCCTTCCAGTACTCTCTGTTACCTCCAGGCTAGTGTCCCGACTCCTCGGCACCTTGTACAACCTTATGTCCCAGCCCAGCCCTCTCCCTCACACCTCTCTGTGTCCCCAGGCTCCAGCCAATTAGGCCTGCTGTCGCTTTCCTCCTCCGTGGTCCTTCCACCTAAGAGTTCTCCCCCATCTCTGTCCATGGAGATCCCACCCACTTTTTAAGGCTCAGCCCAAATGCCACATTAAAAAACCAAAAAACAAAACAAAAAAACCCTTCTATTGGTCACCCCTCCTGGAAGCAGCCCATCCTTCCCCAGAACTCTGAGAGCAGTGTATCAGCTTTACATTTAGGAAACATTTATGATTTGCTGTGTACCCACTGCGTGCAAGGCCTGGGTGGCAGTTTGTTTCTTTTGACTTGGGAGCACCTTGGTGGCAGGGACTGGGCTTATCCATCTTGGGTTCCTAGTTGGGGGCCAACTAGGCTGATCGGGGGCCTGCAGTGCCTCCCTTGGGGCCTCTGTGGCCACTGCCACTTCCTCCCTGGGTGGTCCCTTGGGCCTGGGGATGTGGGCTGGGCCCAAAACATCTGTTTGAGAAGCTCCTGAGTTATGGGCTGCTTTGCTGCTGAGACACTCACCGTAGATACAGCCCTCCCTGTCCCTGATGGCTGTGCCAGGCTGGGGCGGGGCCACCCAGTCACTGGCCATACATAACTCTCCCCGATGAATTGCACGGCACTCAGCAATTAGCTATTGATCATTTGGGGTACTGATAACTCTCCATTATCGATCCACAGAGGCAAGCCTGGCCAGTGTTGGCGAGGGTCAGCTGGGCCTGGCTGGGAGACTGCAATCATGGCCATTTATTTCTGACCAGGAAGCTCGATAAACAGGAGCCAGAGAAAGAGACACAAGCCCCCCTGTCTCCAACCCACGCCACCAGGGTAGGGATAGGGGGCTGGGGAGGAGGGGGAGTTGGAACAGCTGGGGAGCTTTGCGCACCTCCTCCACCCTCTGTTCTCCTTCCTTATTTTGCTTCCAGTCTCTTCTGGCCCTGGGCCTCAGCTTTCCCATCTGTTAAGTGGAGATTTCAGTCTCTTTGTCCAGTGACACTTTGCCTTTGAATGAGATGCCCGGGCAGTTACTGACTTGTCATCATTTCTGCTCCACAGGTAGGGACATTCTGAGGCTCCGGGAGGGTGGTGGCCACATGAGGATGAAATCA